ACATACCTGCCTTCCCACCGGTTACTACAGAGAAACTGTCCAGGCCCGACACCACCTCCAACGTTGTTCCAGTGTTTGTCCCATCTCCCTCTGGCATCAATTTCTCAACCTACCAGATCATTTCCGTTAGCCTACAAAACGCAGTTATTTTTCCTAGCTTAAAAACAGCCTTAAAGCCGAAACCGGTTTGGCTCAGTGGATAGAGCGTCGGCCTGTGGACTGAAGGGTCCCAGGTTCGATTCCGGTCAAGGGCATGTACCTGAGTTGCGGGCACGTCCCCAGTAGGGAGTGTGCAGGAGGCAGCTGGTCGATGTTTCTCTCTCATCGATGTTTCTAACTCTCTGTCTCTCTCCCTTCCTCTCTGTAAAAAATCAATAAAATATATTTTTTAAAAAAAACAGCCTTAAAAAGAAGGAAATTCTGACACATGCTACATGAATGAACCCTGAGGACATTATGCTGACTGAAATAAGCCAGTCACAAAAGGACAAATATGGTATGATTCCACCTGTGTGAGGGTCTTAAGTAGTCAAACTCAGAGGCAGAAAGTGGAACGGTGGTTGCTAGGGGCCGGAGGAGGGGGAATGGGAAGTTATTGTTTAATAGGGACAGAATTTCAGTTTTATAATGTGAAGTGTTCTGGAAACGGATTGTCGTGACGGTTACACAATGTGAATGTATTTAATGCCACTAAACTACACTTAAAAATCGTTAAGATGGCGGGCTTTATGTGTATTTTACCAAATTAAACATTAAAGCAAATCTTTTATTTCACTTTCTCTATATGATATGCCCCATTTTTTCTCCTCCTTGCAATAAAACTCCCTCAAAAAGTTGTCTTAACTTTGTTTCTAATTCTCCTCTCCTCTCTTGAACCTACTCCAATCAGGCTTTTGTCCCTCTAGGTCCCTGAAACTCTCAAGGTCATGGATGACTTCACATTGCCAAATCCAAGGCCCACTCTGTCCTCCCTCATCTTCTTTCACCTCAAAGCAGTACATAGCATAGCTGACTACTACTTTCTGAAAACTGCTTTTTTACTCCACTGTGGCACCAACTTCTGGTTTTCCTCCTACCTCACTGGCCATTACCCCTCAGTTTCCTTTTCTGGTTCTTCCTCCTCACCTGCTTAATGTTAGAATGTCCTAGACCAGTGGTCGGCAAACTCATTAGTCAACAGAGCCAAATAGCAACAGTACGACGATTGAAATTTCTTTTGAGAGCCAAATTTTTTAAACTTAAACTATATAGGTAGGTACATTGTTATTAACTTAATTAGGGTACTCCTAAGGCTTAGGAAGAGCCACACTCAAGGGGCTAAAGAGACGCATGTGGCTCGAGAGCCGCAGTTTGCCGACCACTGCACTAGGTGATCCAACCAGATTCCTCCATTGCCACTGCAGGTGCCCGTCATCTATCACCTGGGTAACTTCAACAGCCCCCGGAGAAGCTCTTCCGGCTTTCACCTTGCTCTTGACTTCTACTCCCAACACAGCTGCCAGAGTGATTCTGTCAAATTATAAATCAAATTGGGTCATTGTTCAAACTCTGCAATGGCTCCCCATTTACCTACCATCCAGTAAAACCCAAAATTCTTATGGTCCACAAGGCCCTCTCTGTATGACATCTCTGACCTCCTTTCCTTCCTTCTTCCAGCTCCACTGCCCTCCTTGCTGTTCAAACCTGAGAGGCATGCTCTTGCTTCATGGCCTTTGCTATTCCTTCTGCCTGGAATGCTCTTCCCCAGGTGACAGCCTGACTGCCTACTTCCACCACCCACTTTAACACCACACTCCACCCACCCTCTTCCTCCCCAGGGCATCTAACATCCAATCCATATTCTATCATTTCTTATCGATGATCACCACACCTCCTCCTCCCGCGCCGTATGGACAGAGATCTCTGTCTATTGTGTTCACTGCTGTGTTCTAAGTCAGCAGACTGTTGCCCGAGACACTGTAAATATTCAATACATATCTGCTGAGTAAATGAGCGAACTGTGAGGATTAGAGATCTGAGCGCTCAATACATACTCGGTACCGGTGTTATCCAGAGGAGCAAGTACAGACCCAAGCTTGGAATCTACTGCCTGGCCAGCAGGAAGGGGGCTCGCTTAAGGCTGGTATTGGGAAAACGGATGCAAAAGTGTTGAGGACCGACTGCGACTGGGGGACGTCGGTGGGGCTGGGGCGGACGCGCCGAGGGCGTGAGAAGATGGAGACCAAAGAGAATTTGGTTCTTCCCTACACACCCCAGCTCTCCTCCTCCACTCTGGTCTCATCTGCCGGGGAACACATTTATTCACACATACTCCGCGCCTGGAGCCGGGGGGTACAGGAGGCGGTCGTGCCCCAGCGTCCTGGCGAACTACGAATCCTTCAGTACCCTGCGGTCTCTGCCAGGAGAGCTCACAGCGCCCGACAGCCCTTCAGGGCGGTGGAGTCGGCGGAAAGCCTTTCACCTAGGACTAACCTGAGC